TTTTTTTTAATGTCCTGTCTACTTCTAGAGATCATGCATCTAGAATTTAACTTAAGTTCTTTCTTGAGCCTCCAGCCTACAAAAAGACCTCTAGGGCTGCATATTATTTATGTTGTGAATTATTTAAATATGTCAGTCAGTTTTTCTTATTCAGTCTCTTGATGACTAATATATACATTTATATTTTTTGTTTCTTCCATTTCTCACAATGTGGCCTCCTCACAACTGGAAATGAAGATTGCTGTGTCCACTGCATCCTGGCGTGCTTGTTCTGTGAATTCCTGACCCTCTGCAACATTGTACTGGGCCAGGCTTCGTGCGGCATCTGCTCTTCGGAGGCCTGTTGCTGTTGCTGCGGGGATGAGATGGGGGATGACTGTAACTGTCCTTGTGACATGGACTGTGGCATCATGGATGCCTGCTGTGAGTCATCAGACTGTTTGGAAATCTGTATGGAATGCTGTGGAATTTGTTTCCCTTCATAAATATTTATCATTTGTTTTGTGTTAAAACTGGAGAGTGTTTTAAAATTTTCTTCTAAAGGTAGAAAAAAAAAAAAATTACATGGTAAGAGTCTCATGAAGCAACCCAGTATTTGCACTGTTAACTCATTATTTTAAGTAATCTCTGAAAGCCTTATTCTCTAACCAAATCTGTATGGTTTAATATGTGAAATTGGAACTACTTTTTAACTTCTTTGTATGTTACAGTGACTGAGGAACATTTTGATCCAAAAAGAAAGGTCAATGTCTCCTCCTTTTTCATTAATATTTCTTTTTCTTCTAACTATTCTCAGGAGCCCTTTGCTCCAAATACATTATTTCTCAGTGGATATTTAAGCCTGACAGTTTATTTTTTATGTTTATCTATTAATAGTTCATGATAAGCATTCTTTGCTTCAGAGTAAACTTTGGGAAGAAGCACACACGAAAGCTGATCTCCATGTGCTCTTGACTGTTTTCCCCACTTGTTCTCCAGACAAAGTGCCTACTGTGCATAACAGCCCTCTGTGGAGGCACAGACATAGAAAACATTCCGCTCCCATCCCACACACCGGAGTATGCCGTTTCAAAAAAGCTAAAGCCAAACACACTGTAGTTGAATTGATTCTAACTCATAGCCAGCCCATGTGTTACGGAGTAGAGCTGAGGGTTTTATTGGCTGTAATTGTTACAGAAACATCACCAGTTCTTTCTTCTGTGGCACTGCTGAGTGCATTTGAACCACCAACCTTTTGGTTAGTCACGCACAAACTGCGCCACTCAAGAACCTATAACTAGTTGCTGTCAAGTTGATTCTGACTCAGGGTGACCCCACGTGTGTCACCGTAGATCTGTGCTGTACAGGCCTTCTCAGTGGCTGATTTTTTCAGAAGTAGATTGCCTGTGCTGTCTTCTGAAGCACCTCTGACTGGACTTGACCTCCAACTCTTCAGTTAGCAGCTAAGTATTTTAGCTGTTTGTACCACCCAGAGAGCGTAGCAGAGGAAAACCACTGCCGTCAAGTCAGTTCCCACTCATAGTAACACTATGGGACAGAGTCGAACTGCTCCATAGGATTTCCAAGGCTGTAAATCTTTACAGAAGCAGATGGCTTCATCTTTCTCCCCCAGCAGGGCAGCTGGTGGGTTGAAACCACTCACTCTTTGGTTAGCAGTCAAAATGCTTTTAACCACTGCATCCTGAGACCTCCTTAGTAGAGCAAAGAAACTCAAAAAGAATGCGCACACAAGGTGTAGTGCAGTGAGGATTTTAAGAGAGAGAAACTCAAAAGGCTGTACAAAAACTCATAAAGAGCAGCTGATGGCTACAAGATCGTTCAGGAGACCTTCATGGAGAATGTGGCATCTGAGGAAGTCTAGTAGGATTGCTAGCGGCACAGTGTTTAGTTAAAGCACTCATCCGCTAACCAGAAGGTTGGCGGTTCAAACCCACTAGTCGCTCTGGAAGAACAATGTGGCAGTCTGTTTCTGTAACAGCCTTGGAAACCTTTTGGGGCAGTTCTACTCTGTCCTATAGAGTTTCTATGACTCAGAATTGACTCTATGCCAAAAGGTTTGGATTTTCTTTTTTTTTTTTTTCCAGTAGGATCACTGTAGGGTCACCATGAGTCATAATCTACTCTACAGCAAACAATAGCAACAGCAGTAGGATGAGCAATTAGTTCACCTGTGATTTGAATGGATTATTTAGATTTAGGACAGAATTTAGGTGAGGAGCCTGTGCAGTCTGTGCCCTTACCTGGTTCAAAGACACATGACTTAAACATACTTATTTTTAGTTGAAAGAATACAGCATCTCTTAAACTACAAAAGTCTATAGTAACTAGAAATACGCATTTTCCTTACAAATATTTTAAGTGTTATGATAGTTTTTAATGAAAACATGAGACTTTATTAAAATATCTACATTTTATGAAAGAATGTGCAGTACTTTTGATAAATTTCATCTTTTTTAATTATAAAATTTCAGTATTCCAATTTTGATTCATTCAGACTTAATTTTTGTCCTTTGTTTTGTTTTGTTTTTGAGCTTTTGATCCCCCTTTTCTTTCCCACTTTTTTTGTTTGTCTGTCTTCTTTGGTTATTTCTTAACCAATATTATACTTCGTACATGCAGTTAAATGGAAACCATTCCTTCAAAGGCAGTAGAAGTCTAGGGATCCATTACCATGACCAAATTTCAATATTGCGATATTATGTAAAGTTAAACCAGCATGGCAAGTTATAAAATGTTGAAGCGTAAAGAAATAAATGAATTCCATGACTAATTATATAGTTCTTGCAATAGAGAGGCTTTGTGTGGTTCAGGTAAAAGGGAGAGTAACGTGCTCTCAGGCTGAGTTTAAGAGCTCCAAAATTTTAATTTAGATTGATTTAGATTTAGAATGTATTTCTTTGTGGAAATTTTGAAGGTATACTTTTTTAGGTTAATAGTTATTTACCTTCAGTCCTTCTTATGAATATCAAATTAATAGCAAAAAAAAAAAAAATTGCTTTAGAAAGCCTTTAGGAAACCTAACCTTTTACAAGGAGCTCTGGTAGCATAGTGCCTAAGGCATTTTGACTGCTAACCAGAAGGCTGGCAGTTCAAACCTACCAGCCACTCCTGAGAAGGCAGGTTGGGCAATCTACTAAAGCATGGGAATACCTCCTGTGGTTTTCATTTTGAAATGAAACCTAGTTTCTATTTGTGTCGTTATTTAAAGGACTTTAAAAAGTTAGTTAAAACTTTTGAATCCCCTTTTTAGTGTTATTTACACACCGAAAAAAATCTTTAAATTGTTGAGTATAAATAGAATTCTGTTAAACAGCTATCTTCTTCGTCTCAAGTGTCTTTCAGTTGTTACATCCAATATAAGAAAGCTTTGTACTATGTCTTGCTAACCAGAATCTGAATATTTACATATACCCAAATGGAGCAAGTGCTGTGTATTAGCATGTACGATTGCCATCTGTTCTTAGGATTGTAAAGCCTTCTCATGACCTGGAATTGCTAGAATATTTCACTTTTATCCTCCTGCAAAACTTTTCAAGCAAGTGGTTTGTCTAATATTTAAGTATAGTCTGCTACTATTTGTGATGAACATATTGGCACTTTGGCTATCATGTTTCCCTGTCATAGAGAACATTAGCACACAGTGGAATTTTTTGTTCATATTTATATTCACAATACTTCTCCTCTCTTGTCTACTCTAGGCAATCATTCCATAAAGCACCTTGTATAATTTTTCAAAAAGTGCAAAACAAATTAAAGTAGGCAAATGTGAAAGTAGTTTCAATATATTTTAGAATTTCTCTTTGTAAATGTTCTGTTGAATTATATGACCATCATGAGTAAGAGCTATAGTTTACGGTTTTAGATTTGACCTCTTTTTAAATGTGGAAACTTAAACATTTTTAAACGGGGCCTGTATTATTCTGAATACACTATTTTTAAATAAAAAATAAAAAGACCTCTTTATTGTGCCTTAGCATACTTTCATATCTAATTGAAATATGTACTGATTGATATTTGAATGAACTCAACTGTAACACAAAACCAGAGATTTTTCTTTATCATGCTTTTTTTTCTTTATCCCTTTTTAAAGATTGTCCTAGTTTCCTTATGTAAATCACATGACTCATGTTCATAAGTGAACTATGAAAGATGCAGGTCAATTTACATTACAAATCCTGGTTGAGTATGTTCACCAGCGCCCTTCAAAACCATAGTGCTCTTCAAAAAATTCATAATGGATAGAAATACAATTTTTATACTTTTTTCTTTTTAGTAGATTGTTTTCATCACTTATTTGAAATTATCTCTCGGGTAATTTTTTATACATATTGAGCATAAACAAGGAGTTAAACATGTTCAAATATCTGTGAGGTTGTGCATTAGATTTCATGAATTTCGTGCCAGAAGTATTTCCATCCAGGATTTTTTGGGCCACAATTTTTAAGTACTAAAGAATGTTTTACAATTAGTACTTAACTGAAATAATATAGTTTGATTTTATTTTAGAAGTCTTTATATTTAGTAAAATAATAAATTTGCTTTTATATTCTTAGGGTATATCACTGTTTTCATTTTCCTCACTGAAGTGTGGTAAGTGCTATCAGAGAAGTTCACGAGGTAACCAAGGCAACCTTATGTAATAACTTTCCATTCTTTACCCATAGAAACTCAATCAGTGCCCTAGTTTCTAATGTTATAAACGTCAAATGTCACTGCCTAACATAAATAAGACTCAAGTCAAGAGACTCAGTGGCTTGCCTTCATGAATTCTAGTTTAAATGCTTAGATTTATCCAACTGCCTAATGAATGTTTATTTATTAATAAGATTATTTTAAAAATTATTCAAGACCTTTATGCCCCTTTCAATTATTTGTGATTTGTAGGCCTCTTGGATTGTTACATCTAATCTGGCAGGCAAAATGAATTTCATAAAATATTATAAATACTCCTTTTTTTATTCCTTCCACTCTAATGTAGTACTGTTTTTGCTTTAAATAAACGATAATATATTGATAGGGTTTATTACACACTTATTTATATCTTTTAGTTTTGCATTGAGTATTCCAGGCAAGTCCTTTTAACTCTTCATCTCCCTGCTCCCCTATAACCAATAAATTCAATAGTGAGTGTCTTCCCTGTGCTTGGATTACTAGGCATGTTAAGGCTGTCATATAACCTTCAGAAACTTTAAGCCTAGGGGAAAAAATTGGCACCCATCATGGGAAAATTGTTAGTTCCAATACAGAAGCCACCAATATTTACTTGCCTATTTAAGATTACTTTCAGAGGTTTTAATGAGCTCTGGTGGCATGGTAGTTAAAACATACAGCTACTAACCAGAAGTTCGGTGGTTCAAACGCACTAGCCACTCTACGGAAGAAAGATGAGGACTTCTTTTTCCATAAAGATTTACGGCTTTGGAAACCCATTAGGACACTTCTACTCTGTCCTAAAGTGTTGCTATGGGTCAGAATTGACTCGAAGGCAGTGGCTTTTAGAGGTCTTGGTTAA